TGCGTGTGCGTGTGCGTGTGCGTGTGCGTGTGCGTGTGCGTGTGCGTGTGTGTGTGTGGTGTAAATTCTTGTTGCTCTCGATCATGATTTTGACAGATCCACAAGGAGACAGCAGTGCGAGGAGACTTGCATCATATGTGTCAGTTATCTTCGTGTGACCACGTGCCCAAGTTTCCATGTGACCCATGTTCTGCGGTCCCCGCCTATCACATACCACAAAGTAAAACCTCTAACGCATTGTCTTCTGTGGGGAAACACTAGCAGCGCCACCACTATGCGCTGTAAACACTTAATTCTTTTCAATTACCCGATGTCTCCAAATCCTCTGCATGTTCATGCTGACACGGCGCTGTTGGTAAAGCCAAAGCTAAAATCCATTTTTGGACTAATGCGCGAGCCGCTTTGGATCTACTTTGACAAACGACTACATCCATATAAACGTGTAGGACATCGGCTTTACACACGCATAAGCTGTTAATTCTCCCTACAGATCTACATCATGTCTAAGCAGATGCCGAGTTTACGGTCAAACGCGAATGCCAGGTGTGTCCTAGAGGCACTGGTCACTGTACGAAATTGTTCTTATAGTTTAACCTATTTACACATTCACACGTGTGTCTAGTCTGTCCGCGATTTGATCGAATCTCGTTCGCCTTTTGTTACCTGCCTCGTACCTACCGGACATAACATCGTTAACGGGTCAAAGCAAGACGATACGATCATTGTGGAAACCGTGGAAACAATAGAGGTAGGTTAACCAGGCTCTAGTCATTCGATTTCTTTCGTCTGCCTCTGATGTAAAATCCGTGAAATCGATTTTTGAATTAGATATTGTTTATACTAGACGCACAATGAACCCGTGGGCGCTCGATATTTTTACCAACATTTTATTTACTCCAAAATTAACCATATGCTGCGGAAAAACTATGCTATCTTTTATGTGGAATATTTTAACTCCTTTAGGCCTACTACATAGTATACAACTATGTACTCCTAAACATCTCTTAGCTATATATGGTAACACCGAAATTTAACAGAGAGCTCTCGGCACACTTCAGAGCCCGCCTTCTAGCTTCATTCACCTTACACTTGCACAGTACTGCTACAGGTGCATTCCTTATGGCTGACAGCTAGTACCTGTGGGATTTATAACTGGTACCCTGTATATAACAATACCAGGCGCGAACAGCCTACCTGCTGGGCGGACTATAAAGCCGTACAATAATGGCACGGACCGCAACAAAGCACTAGCAAGCCGAAGTTAGGAGTTAACGTGGGAAGCACAGCATAAGGTTATAAGGTACAATGTTTAGGTGTAAGGCACTTTAGCTTCACAGCAGAGGCATTGCCATAGACTTAAAGGAAAACCTAGAAGGTTTCCGACTTGTTTTCATATGGATAGTGCATTACAGAGAGGGCTATATATACAGCGGCACATGTTCAAGTAGAAGTAACAGGTGCTAATACAAATGAAACATCTATAAGCACTTTATTTAATTACTTAATTGATACTTGGTTTAACTAATTAATAATTTTTCTAGGTAAGTACTGTTCGGCTGAAGTTTAAGGAGAATCTACGAGCAATTAAGTTTAGTTGATCAAGATATTGAACGGCGAATTGAGCTAATCAATACGTGTGCTTTCGATGAAAATTATTGGTAAAACTACTTACAAATAAACTATTCTTAACGCCGAACGTTGGGCCACATCTAGAAAATGTTTACCCAAAGCTCCATATACTTCTAAATGTGAATGTGTTTCGGAGTTTGTGATTCAGCTGAATAATAATGACGAGGAAGGGTCGCAGCTGCCAGTCAACGTGCGTGGTGAGGCGGAGGTGAGGCGGGGGTGGGTGTGAGACGAGGGTTTCACGGATAAATACATGATGATTTACACTTATTTGCATTTATTAGGTCGTAAACCCTTATTTTATTTTTCTCCAAGACCTATAGCGGGGCAGCTAGCCTCCCCCTCCCCCAACCGGAGGCACTACGGTCCTGCCACCCGTACACACATATGTCACTCCACCCCGCGCGTGTGTTAGAATGTATAGTAAATTCGGGTCGGAAATAGGGGGAGGATTAGGCACTACTGCAAACTCAGTAGGAAATCCTCGCTAATCCATCCAAATCTCGGCAATTATGATGAAGTGCTCCACCTGAAAGGCGGCGTAATCATACATTGTTTTCGCGCGGCCTGGAGTGGTGCTTGTGCGCCGGCGAAATGACCATTGTCCACTGTTGTCCGCCACTTCCACCGCCACTCCGGTGAATCTTGCGCTACTTAATAGAAGGCCGTGATAGCCATTGTTCGGCCAAGGTGGCAGAGATTTCGGGACGTGGGTAGGATAGGTGCACGGGTGTTTGAACGCCACTCGTGTGCACTTGCGCTCGTTTAGACAATACACGAGCTTTGCTTGTAAGGACCCTCAGTGCGGCTGAGAATCTGCTGTCTAAGCCCGCCTGCTTGTTAACGATGCTGGAGAAGTTCTCCAGGTGTCTCGACGACCGTGGCGGCACTTTGGACCTCGCTGGCGGTTCCTAAGTTCTCTAGTATTTGACTTGCAAAAGGACCCTCCACTATTCTTCCTTCTTCTACTTCATAATACTTTACAGAGACCGCTCTGTGCGAATAATTTCTGTTCCACGATCGTTATATATATATTTTTTTTATGCGCACGACCCTCTCTCCCCCTGCTCCCTTTCCCTCCCACTCCCTCTCCCTCTCATCGGTAGACTTTAAAGCGCCCCGAGGGTTCTTATCGAATCTTCAATGCGATGCGGCAATGCTAATTAGACAAAACCAGAACAACGGCCGACAACTCTGGTAAACGACCAGGGCATAATGGCGGCACTGCTACCCGACTTGACCCCACCATGGCAGCTTCAAAAGGGGCCCTCCAGCGACACGCACGGAGTTACCTGACTGGTTGTAATGCTAATTGCCTCTTACGGAACAAAAGTGTCCACCTCCGTAACCAGCAGACGCCGAAGCGGTCGCTATGCCTTGCGGCAAAATTGAAAAGAGCCCTAAGGCTTGCTCATTCTTGTTACGATTCCACCCGTAGGGTGAAGTGTCGCTTTCGCCCGGCGGCTTTCAATTGCCCTAAGGGTATCCAACGGCTATAGCTTGCGTGTGGTAAGGCTAACTAAACAATGTCGTGACAATAGTAGAAAGGTTTGGAAACTGTGACAAACGTTGTCTGTAATGATAGGCTTGGTACTGCCTGTGGGGAGCCAAACGCCAGCGGCAAGGTTCAATAGATGCCGCGGGCTATTAAGCCCAAGTTGGTTAGAATTAGATTAGAGTGTTGTCCTTGCTCGAAACTGAAGAGGAGGTTTCTGATATAACCTGCGATTTGTATATGGGTATGTTATAAGTATATGGGTATTTTTATGAGCTTTAACCTTATCTTTATAACCCTCATAATCTTTCATTATTTAAGGCCCGTATGCGTGTGCGCGAGGGAAATAGTGAGGTAGAGGGGAAGAGAAAAAGTGAGATGAGGAAACATTGAAGTGAGTTATATGAGGTAAACGCATATTTTATGCAGGTTACTACGAGCATATCAACATGTTCTGCTTGCATCTATGACAAATACGACATACGCATATACGCTCACCTATGACACTATTTGTCATAGGAAGATTCTTCCTATGACAAATATTGGCGAGTCAACTTCGTTCCACTTTGCAGCTGAAATTCACTGCTTGCGTTCATAATAGCGATCCTAAACTCCTATGATGCGCACAACACATACAACAATATTTGTCATAGGAAGAATCTTTCTATGACAAATAGTGTCATAGGAGAGCGTATATGCGTATGTCATATTTGTCATAGATGCTAGCAGAACAGGCTGTACATATGCACATAACGAGACCGCTTACTAAACAGGCAGCAATCAGGGTTCCAAGTGCAAGTTTTGTATCTGTTGTATCCTGTTGTACACCTCCCCTCCATCTTGACATCGTAGCCAAGGGCAAAGTTTTCACACATCATCGTGTACCCCTTGTAAAATCACGACGTGATGACGACGATATGAGTTCGCTACAAATGCTCGCGTGAGGTCGCTGCTGCGAAGCATAGAAATAATAGACTAGTTTGTCTCGCTATAATACAGCTCTATGCCACGAAGTGTGTGCGACCTACGTGGCCAATTATTCTGTTTTGGAGTTGAGAACTGTGTCCACTTCGGTGGGAGCCTCGTGGAGATATTGTGTGCGTGAAGCATGCCCCGAGGCAAGGCAGCTGGAGCTAACCGCACGCAGGGAGCGCCAACGGTGCTTGCAGAAGCTCTGCGATAGCACTCGGGCAGTGGCCCCGGGCAATATTTTCACACGTCCAATAAACATGTTGGCAGGAGCCCATAGAAAATTATGAGCTAATTACTGAAAGTTACACAAATAACCGCGAACGGGGTGGGAAAGTTTACTGGCCCCGGGTTCTGCTCGCGGAGTCTGCCGTCAACAGTGACTTTGTTCTGGTTCGAGGGGCGTGGTAGTGCGTGTCGTGCCGGTGGCATTTTACCTCTTGGCGCACGCACGCATACTTTAAACCTGTGTGGCAGGGAGCATCCATGCCTCTCCACCTCTATTGTGCTGTCCACGCGACGGTTACAGTTATTCGACCAGGAAAGGTGTTGCGAACTTAGTGGGGAAATACTGCGAATAAATCCTTTTAAACAAGGATGGGAACGTGTGCTGCCGGTGAGGACTAGAGGGTGTAACAGTTGTGGAAGGTTGTAATGACCGTCGCACGCTGTGAGCGTCCCGGGTCTATCCCGCCAGGAACCCGCTGCAATTCTAGAGAGGTTAAACGCAGTGAAAATGTTAAAGAATTAGGAAGGCGGGTGACCATTGATGACAGCTGCAGCTGGCTACTCTCCCGCGACACAACAATGTGGAAACAACACGCGCGTGTTCACTAAGCCTGAACTCTGCTCTGAAACAGTTAATAAATACTAACAAAAATCAAATGTCTAATTTGTCTGTTGTATCCGGTGGTCATATAATATTGCTAGAAATCTAGTCAATAACGTGGGGATGTAAACTACACTGACTAGTTCACACAGATGGGTATGTGCTTGCAATCAAGTTAATGTACCGCATTTTGTTTACTATATATATGGAATAGATCGCGCCCGATCAGAACTGTTCTTGGAACATATAGCAATAATATAGAACGTCCACAATATAGCCGTAGTAACTACTCCATTAACGACCGCGCTCGACCCACGGATGCGAATCTGGGCATGCGTTTAAACAGCGGGAGAGAAAGACAGAGAGAAACCGAGCGAGAGAGGGAAAGATATGGAGAACGAGAGGAGAGAGGAGAGAAAGAGATTGAGAGAAAGAGACTAGAGAGGAGAGAGAGAGTGATGGTATAAGAGAGGGAGCGAGAGAGAGAGAGAGAGAGAGGAGAGAGAGCGCGCGTGAGAGTGAGAGGGGAGAGAGAGAGAGAGAGAGAGAGAGAGAGAGAGAAACATACGCCATACGACTCACGAACACACGAATAACCCAGGATATACGCCAGAGTACTGACATGTAGACGCTGGCTTCCTGGCTTGCTGCTCGCTCACATGTACACGCTCGCTGCGCTGGATGGCTGGCTCGCTGACTCGACGCGCTAATATTGATCGCGCGAACACACGAACACACGCACACGAGACCGAAAACATAACCGCCTCCCCAACTCTGTTGGGCGGAGGTAATAATTATTATAGCAGTGATTCGGTGGCGATCTAGCCGACGCAGCGTATTAGCCAGCCAGCCGTGCAGCCGTGATTTGCACGGTCAGTTTTGAAAATGCACTTCCAAAAATGTGTAGCACGGCTTAAAATATTGATCTAAAGCCGTGTACATTGTAAAAATTGAACTCCCAAATATTTTTTCTGCACTACCACAATACTCATTCCTGGCTAATATTCCCTGAGCAGACGCGAATGCTGTGCAGTCGTGCCCTCTGGCTGTGATGATAGGTCTGCGTGTGCAGGACATTTTGGAGATGCTAGCTGGTGCGTGAAAGGATGAGAGCTAGCTGGCTGATATTCAAGGATAAATCCAGTCAGCTAGCTGGTAAATAAAAGGTACCTAACACCAGGAAATGCTGAGTCATCGTGGTCATGCGACGTGAAAAATTGAGAGGGAAGGAAGTGACTGGGTGTTGCTACAGTGCGAGTAGTTGAAGATAATTTGATGAAATTCTATGTATAGCTACCTAGTAGAATGCACTTCCGATGTTCTGGTGGCGAAGTCAAAAAGTGATTTATGATACTAAATAGAAATGTAGCGTGTGTATAGGGTAGTGAGAAGAGGTTTGCAAGGTGGGAAGTAAACAGGAAGACACTATCCATAAGAAACGGGAATTAATTTATTTCTGCGTGAAAGTTAGAGCAGAATACTGGACAATACTGTGACCACGGAACGCTCATATTTCGTAGCTTGTATGCTTATACCTGTAACCATGATTGTATCCCCCCCGACGAAGTCGGCGGGGATACTATGGTTTCATGTCTCCCCAGCCGCCGCCGCTCGGTCCGCCGCAGAGAATTTCCCTTCCGCTCTCTAACTCGGCCCCTAAGTGACCTAGCGCTACCAAACTTGGTATACTTACACATCTTGGGGAGAAGGTGAGCAGCGTACCAAAACCAGGTCACTGCGACCTTTATTTGACCTTTACCTTGACCTTGATCATATTTTCCTTCCGCTCTCTAACTCGGCCTCTAATTGACCTAGCGCTACCATGTGTAGGTACGCATGATATGTTATGCCGAGCTGGATGAAAGGCGAACTGCGCTGGGCTCAAAGCTCATTTCACAAAATATTTTTAAATAATTAAAAGGTATCTGTTGTTTCTTTTATAATCTTTTTAGCACAGTCTTTGTCATGTGTCTTTGTATGCTCCTTTTTCTTCCTACGTCCGCTTACTTTTTTCTCTTCTCTCTCTCTTTTTTTGGCCGGCGTTTTGGGGCGGGGGGGCCGCCCCCACCGCCCCCCTCTCTGGCTACGCGCCTGGTATTACTCTGTTGATTAATCTATATTGAGATATATTTTGTTGACTTATTGGTTCACACTCCCTGTAGTGTATTGTCTTGACTCAAATTGACTCAAAACCGGTACCTATATAAACAGTTATATATGCCTATATATATATATTTCGTTCACTTCTCTCCGCATCTCATAATTCCTACAAGTACTCATATTTATTGTACCAACTATGTTGTTGTTTTCCTGTATATTATTTATATGTTCCAATCCAGATATCCTCGACCCAAATTGCTTACGGTACTGACTATTGTCTAATATTTAACAAGACTATTTGTTCGATGCACTAATCATGTTCGCCAGTCTGTCCGCGTTCCAATATGTCTCGTTCACACATACTCATATTTCACCTCTATGTACATCCGTTAATTGTTTATATCTAGAGACATTTATTCCTTTATTGTCTATCAATATTTTTTTTAATATTTCGTCGTCTGCATAATAACTAATTCTATAGGGGCGGCTGACTTTGATGACCTGCGGGTTTTTCGCCGTCCCCGTGCTCCATTTAGTAATGATTGTATTTGTTTTTGTTTGTTCACGGATTGATAATCAATGTGTGATTGTATATAACTTGCACTTATGTGTCTTATGCACAAATAATTTTTTTTGCATCTTGAATCTTGAATCTTGAATCCCTCTTGAATCTTCCAGTACCACAGGCGCTCCCCGCAAGTCAGAGATTTACAAAGTGCATAAATGTAAAAAGAGGGCAGCACCTACCGAGGGTCGCCCGCCACCTACGAACGTCGAATCGGCGGGCGGGCGTGGAAAAAGTAACCGAAAAAGTGATCTACCTCCGTCTCTATCTCATACTATCTGTGTGTAGTTTGTGAATAGCTGCTTTACTCTTTCTTGGATGTTCGAGGTAAGTGTTGTGAAATTGTTGTTTTGTTGGGGGGGCCGTGACAGTGAGGATGGCGCTTTGGCAGTCCGAGAAGATTCTGAGTTTTGATATGGTGTGGAGTGCAGAGTAGTTGATTGCGAAGTCCATTGCGAGGAATATTGCGTGAAGTTCTCCGTGATAGCTGCTGCTTTTACACGAGACAGCCTTTCGGATGGCGATGGCTTGGCTGTTGATGCCATTCGCGTAGACGATGGCTGCCGCCCCACAGGGTCCAGGATTCCCGAGAGCTGATCCGTCAGTGAAGGCGATTATGGTCTTTTCATCAGTCTCCTTCAGCTGTTCCTCCGTGATTTTCCTTGCCTTTTCAGCTTGGGCGGTCGATCTGCTCTTGCTGTTACCGAGCGTGTACCATGAGTTATTAACCCTGGTTACCATCGTCGCATTGAGCGTGCCCAAGCTGTATTGTGGTTCGTGGTCAACCCGGTCCAGTGAGAAGTTCCTGCATAGGGAGTTGACAGCCATTTTGATGTGGTGTAAGGGGGTTAGGGTTCGGTGATCCATGAAGACTTTGTTATCCAGGTTATGTAGTACCATGCAGCGGAGAGGGTTGTCATGGGGCTTCCTCAGGATGCGAATGATTTCGTGAGCCAAGATTTCCTGAAAGCGGAGTCTCAGCGGTGGTACATGCGTGAGGACTTCTAGGGCCGACTCTGGTGTTGTGTTGATGGTGCCAGAGGCTCTCAGTAGGGCTATGCGCTGCACTCTGTAAATTTTCCTGAGTTGTTCCTTGGACGCGCAACACCAGATAGGGTACGCGTATTCCAGATGAGGTCTGACGCATGCCTTGTAAAGTGCGATTCCGATCTCCATTTTCATTCCGCCTATGTCTGCCATGAGCGCGCTGATTCTTGCCAGGGCTCCGAACGCTTTCTTGGCTGTTTTGTCAGTGTGTTCTTGGAACGTCAGGTGCTGATCCAAGGTGACTCTCCTATCTGCAGTAAACAACTCCTCACTCCAAAAGAAAAGCCTAACGTCGGCGCGAATGCTGAGTCTGCACTGCCTACGCTGCGTACTCCCCATACATAATCGGGGATGTAACACCAATCCATGTGGTGGCGGTGGAAGACCATCCATCCCTCCCTGGAAAAATGCAGGGCGTCCACAATGATGGAACAAAATGTTAAAATGAATAGAAATAATCTCATAGAAAGATTGCAGCGTAGCATGCCCAAGGAGTGAGTGATATTTTTATAAATTTAATCTATGTGGGAGTTTCTGTGATAGTCCCTGTTTATGATAATGCCCAGATTTTTCTACACTGAGGTAATTGATAAGTTAGTAGGTTAGGGTGATTTCGACAGGGTCCTTCTCAGAGTTTAGGATTGGCTAGCTAAAGGTCATTCTGCGGGTTGAGACCCATTTTTCAATGTGAGTAACGATACTCTGCATAGCTAATTGGTCATTCTTACTGTAAATCATGAGGTATAGTAGCGTATCATCAACAAAAAAACATCTAGAAGTAAAAATTACAGGTTTAACAGATGATTGATAAAGGCTTATAATAATAGCGGGCCAAGCACAGAACCTTTAGGAAGAACCTTTTACAATCACGGAACCTGAATCAGTGATGTAACCGTAACCACAGCTGCCATGCGTGCTGCTGTTGGCACAGACAAAAATCTACAAATTGAGTTCGTACTCAAGCTTTAGGTAGTAATATCCAATCCCATATGAGTGAGTTTAGGAATTAAAACGTCAAACTCAGTCATATGGATTGGACCATTCCAATAATAAATTTATAGTATATAATTCAAATTACATTCACTACCACAGTTTTATTGGATGTTTCTTCCATTTATTGTCCAATAGTTATACATATACAGTGTTTCCCCTGCATTGACACGAGCGAGGCGGGACGCCTTGCACAAATTCTCAGCCGCCAAACAGAAATTTGTCCAAAACACCGCCTCGCTGACGAAACTTTTGACAACTTGAAAAAGAGATTCAAGAGTCTCATACAATGTGTTCAGAATAGCTTAAAATGCACCAAATTGCTCCATTTTTTCAAAAAATTGCGGGGGGAGCATGGCCCCGGACCCTCCTAGCTTGGCCAGCACCTGCGCTGCTCGCTTTGCTAGGACCTTGAAATGCGCAAACACATCACAAAAAACATTTGCCACCTCACCGACCTTTTTGGCCAGGGGAAACACTGCATATATACACTGCTCAAGTACTCCTTCACAATGCACAGTATATCACTGTATGCAATATCTGGCACAGTGTGTACAGAGTGAGAGACGGAGAATGTGGAAAGGGATGAACAAAAAAAGTGAAGGCAGGATCGAGAGACCAGGGGAAGGGGGAGATAAGGAAATGGGAAAAGAAAGAAGGTGAGGACGCCCGGAAGTGTGAGATTGAAGTGGTTTATCACATTATACAAACACGATCAAAGAGTAATTTAATTCATGACATACATGGAACATCAAAATAAAAACACATCTATCGTTTATCCACAAACATTTGAAGATCAATTATCTTCGCGCACTACTGCCCCCCCCCCCACTACGCAGGGAGAAAATATTCCCAATAATTCCAATTTGATTCTTTGTCAATTTTTGAATTCAATGCCCTATATTCCATTATACGGCTGCATGTTCTGCCCCAACGTAAGGAGGTGCATGAGTCTGTCTGATCTATAGATGTGTGCCGACAACCAGTGATGTTTGCAATAGGCGCCACAACTAATGCTATTGCACAGGTAATTGAGATCCTACAACTCGCATAGGTGTGTAAATTCTGTCTACCGCCAAGTCCTAAAGTCATGAAAACTAATCACACTGAACAGGTCGGCCGCTCTGCTTTCTGGCACTTCTTACGTTTCAAGTTAGCAAAGAAGGATTGTGATGGTCACTATTGTGTTGTCGGCCCTCCGCACGTGGGACCCAGATCCCCGTGTATTTATCCCTGTGACCGCAGCATGCGATATTCAACCAGATTAAAAAGCTATAGACACGATAGACAGTTAAATGATGATCACAAATTACAGTAAGTCAGTAAAATCAGTCAGTAAATCAAGGTATGTTGTAGAAGTGACAGTGAAGAAGGGTTTATTAATGTGATCCAGGTAAGTTTTAGAGGTGACATGCAGTGATTAAGAATGGGGTTATTAAATTAATCCAGGTATGTTTTGTTCTGTGTATGAATTCCGATAAAATGTCTGATAAAATGTCCTTGAATTTCCGATAAAATGTCCTTGAATTTCCGATAAAATGTCCTTGAATTTCCGATAAAATGTCCTTGAATTTCCGATAAAATGTCCTCGAATTTCCGATAAAATGTCCTTGAAAAGTCATTGAAGAAAATGTCAGTCCACCTGTATGAACCATGTGTAACTAATAGTAAATGACAAATGGGGCCTGCAGATATACTATGTTCGACTACATCTGAGTGCAAACACCCATAAAATACTTAGTCAGTCTGTTACAAAACACGTGTGAGTATGGTCTACAGGTAAAGATGATTACATCTTCTTGATACCATGTATATATTCAATGCTCATTCGATAATTTTTTTTTCAAGTCCAAGTCACAGTGCAGGTTGAGCTCAGATAAGTGATATTAGGCACGGCATACTCCTCACGCTCACTGCTCACTGTGCTTATACTGCTTGCTCACTGCTTGCTTACTGGCTCATGCCGTATTCACACTAGTTGCTACGTACCCAACCACAACAGTGTTTTATTGATTTCTATTTTGTGCAGCTGCTGAAAAGGCACTTCCAAAATGGGTTCAGGAAATTCCAAAGGTATGTATGTTCTCGAACGGTTCACGGTTGTTTAAGTTTATACTGTTATTTGGCTGCTTGCAATTTATTTATTGAGAATTTTTTTCACAACATCTATGTTGTAGTTGTGTTACCATAACTTAGTATATGGCAAGCATACCGTGCAGCGCTGCTATTATTGCCCCACGCTCCAACCGGCATCTAATAGTTTCTGTGTAACATTGACTAATGGCGAGAACACTTGCTGGAAGCATAGAATATTAGCAGCTGATTTCTATGGAATAAATAGTCCTGTATTCGGGTGCTGTTGTACTTCTCAGGCAATGAAAATGTTAGGTTGAGCCAAGGTAGAAGGAAAAAAACTAATCACAATATGGTTCTTAGATACGTAAAATCGGCTGCTCGGAGTGTATAATTTTGTGGTGGGGTTCTGCCTATGTTTAATAATGACAAATTGTGCGCCTAAAACACGTAGTTCATACTCGTACAATACATATACAGGATTTGTTTGAGAAATTGGCCATCCGCTCACCCTGACTGGCACAGCTGTTCACGGCTGCTATGAATGTACCCGTGCGGTATTTCGAGTCGCAGTTTATATGGAAGTAGTATATATATGCAGAAGCTAATAATGACAAATGATTTGAGCTATTAATAGAGCAATTAATTTGAGCTAATAATTTGTCATTATTAACTCCGGATATATGCAATGTCGTGTGTTACACGCGCCTTTCTGCTTTGCGTTAACGTGGGGCTTTCCACCAGGCCGGTGTTGCTCATATATAATTGCACGACTGGTCGATGCATAGTATTGATATCACGTTATATGGCCTGACAAGTAGAAGGTAATAAATATCAGTCGATTAGGCAGTGGTGGCGGCTGCAGTAACCGATGCGAGCCAACCGGAAACTCAGAATGCCAGGGCGAAAACGGTGGTTGCTGAGTTAGAGGCTGTCTTGTGGCTGCTTAATTGGTAAGAGAGAGAGAGAGAGAAGAATAGCAGAATAGCTGTTCTAAGGCGTCACCTAGCTGTAGCGTCAGGATCGCTGCACGTGTGAGTGAGCTAGCAGGTGAGCATGACTGATTTCTCATTTTCGTGCACAAACACGCCAGTTATAACAAGATGAAACTAGACAGAGTGCACTCACGGAGAGTGCATACCTCTGCCAGCGACATACGCCATACGACTCACGAACACACGAATAACCCAGGATGATAACGCAGAGTACTGACCATGTACGAGCCTGGCTTCCTGGCTTGCTGCTCGCCCACATGTAGCACGCTCGCTGGCTCGCTGGCGCTGGGCTGCTGGGCTTGCTGACTCGACGCGCTAATATATCGCGCGAACACACGAACACATGGCCAGCCGAGACCGAAAACATAACCTTTTCCCAACTCTGTTGGGCGGAGTATAATTCTTATAGAGTGATCGGAGGCGATTCTAGCCGACGCAGCGTACTTAACAGCGAGCCGTGCAGCCGCGTGATTTGGCAGCGTCAGTTTTGAAATTGCACTTGAATATTTTTCTGCACTCCCACAATACTATCCTGGCTAATATTCCGCTGAGCAGACGCGAATGCTGTGGCATCGTGGCCTTCTGGCTGTGATGATAGGTCTGCGTGTGCAGACATTTTTGGAGATGCTAGCTGGTGCCGTGACATGATGAGGAGCTAGCTGGCTGATATTCAAGGATAAATCCAGTCAGCTTAGCTGGTAAATAAAAGGTACTAACACCAGGAAATGCTGAGTCATCGTGGTCCGCGACGTGAAAAATTGAGACGGAAGAAAGTGACTGGGTGTTGCACAAGTGCGAGTAGTTGAAGATAATTTGATTGAAATTCTATGTATAGCTACCTAGTAGAAATGCACTTCCTCGATGTTCTGGTGGCGAAGTCAAAAAGTGATTTATGATACTAAATAGAAATGTAGCGTGTTGTATAGGGTAGTTGACGAAGAGGTTGCAAGGTGGAAGTAAACAGGAAGACACTATCCATACGAACGGAATTAATTTATTTGCTGGCGTGAAAGTGAGGCAGAATATGGACAATACTGTGACCGACGGAACGCTCATAATTTCGTAGCTTGTATGCTTAACCTGTAACCATGATTGTATCCGCCCGACGAACGTCGGCGGGGGGAAAAATAGCATGTTTCAATGTCTGCCCAGCCGCGCCGCTCGTCCGCCCGCAGAGAAATTTCCTTCCGCTCTCTAACTCGGCGCCCTGAATTGACCTAGCGGGCTACAACTTAGTATAGGGCTTACACATCTTGGGGAGAAGGTGAGCAGCGTACAAACCAGGTTCACTGCGACCTTTATTGACCTTTACCTTGACCTTGATCATATTTCCTTCGCTCTCTAAGCTCGGGCCGCCTAATTGAACTAGCGCTTACAAACTTGGTATACTTACACATCTTGGGGAGAAGGTGTGTCGCGTACCAAGACAGGTCAGCTTGCGACTTATAATTTGACGCTTTAGCCTTGACCCTGATCATATTTCCGCCTTCCGCTCTCTAAACTCGGCCCTAATTGACGCTTAGCGCTACCAAAACATGGTATACTTACACATCTTGGGGAAAAAGGTGAGCACGTACAAACCAGGTCACTGCGACTTTATTTGACCTTCTACCATTGACCTTGATCATTTTCCTCGCTCTCTAACTCGGCCCCCTAAGGTGACCTAGCGCTAACAAACTTCGGTATACTTACACATCTGGGGAGAAGGTAGCGGCGTACCAAAACAGGTCACTGCGACTTTATTTGACCTTACCGTGGACCTTGATGCATATTTCGCCTTCCGCTCTCTCTAACTCTGGCGCTAATTTGACCTGCGCTACAACTTGATATACTTACACATCTTGGGGAGAAGGCTCGGGGCGAGCGTACAAAACGAGTCACTGCGACCTTTATTTGACCTTACCTTGACCGTTGATCATATTTCCCTTCCGCTCCCTAATCCGGCCCCTAATTGCACCTAAGCGCTACCAAAACTTGGTATACTTACACATCTTTGGGAGATAGGGTGTCGTGGTACCAAAACCAGGTCACTGGACCTTTATTTGACCTTTCTTTGACCTTGCCATCTATTTCCTTCCGCCTCTCTAACTCAGCCGCCTAATTGACCTAGCTGCTACAAACTTGGTATAGCTAACACATCTTGGAGAAGGTGAGCAGCGTACAAAACCCAGCGTCAGGCGACCTTTATTTGACCTTTACTTGAACTTGATCATACTTCTCCCTTGCTCTCTAATCGGCCTCTAATTGACCTACGCCTAAGCGCAAACAGGTCAACTACGCGACCTTTATTTGTACATTTACCTTGACCTTGTCATCATAATTTCCCTTCCGTCATATAATCGGCCCCCTAATTGCCCTAGCTCTACCAAACTTGTATACTTACATCATTCTTGGGCAAGAAGAGTGTGTTCGGTACCAAACCAGGTCACTACGACCGCTTATTTGACCTTTTACGCTTTGACTTGATTATATTTGCGCCTTCCGCTCTATAACTCGGCCCCTAATTGACCTAGCGGCACCAAACTTGTATATCTTACTCATCTTGGGGAGAATGTGTTGCTCGCGTACTGAAACCCAGGTCACTGCAACCTTCTATTTGGACATTGACCGTTGACGCTTGCTCATCATATCTTCTCTTCCACTCTATAACTCGGCCCCTAATTGACTGCTAGTGCGACCAGCAACTCTATACTTACACATCTTGGCGAGAACACGGGGGGGGAAACCATGTAGTTGGCGACAACTGCTTTTTCTAGTTATACATGTGTTTGTCCACGTGTTGGTCAGCTACTCACTATATGTAGCTCGTGGTGGTCATTCCTGGCTACTGAACCTAACTGCTATGTCACTATATAGAGTGATATTATGTGCTGATCTGCTGAGTTCAGGTGCAGCTATAGGGCACATCTTGATATTGACTGCTGGGCAAAGAAGTGTAGATATATAATATGGTTGTAATAGCCCATAAGTGATCGGAGAAGAAGAAATATAGTTTAAATGCATATCTTACATATCGAGATCTAGAAACAGATAGCAAGAAGTCCATATAGTAATGTGATGGGAATTTGAATCCTGTAATCTGCACAGTGTTTGCCACTGCTAGCCATGGAGTAGGAATGTGAGGTCTGTGTCATAAAAACGTTTTGGCATTGTAATGATGATTTGTGCTATTTTAAAACATGGAAAGGTCGATGAGTAAGACTAATATTACGACTAGAATGTTTCTCATAACGCCCCCGCCCTGATGGTCCAGCGTGCCAATTACTTGGACATGTATCAGAGATATAGCTTACTGCTGCTCGTCAGTTGGTATAGTTAATATCAAGATAATATCAGAAAGTGCACTCCATGTCTCCTTGGTCAAAATTGCCATGAGTATAATCCCATGTGTAATACATGTAATAATAGAGAAATATTGAAGAATGATATATATATGTCTCGTCGAATTTACACATCTAGCCTGAATAAGTTTGTCAGATCAAGACGTGAAGTTGTGAGGCTATAGGCCTGGCAATTTTACATGTATGTACGAGTTTAGCTGTATAATAATTGAAGCAGGTGTGAGAGTCACATATGAGATACACATGAGATGTAGACGTTTGTGAAAGCTGGTCAATTATAGAATAAATAGCAGGTATAGAATGATAATGAAGTTATGTTTTAGTATGCCATTTCTGCATCTAGTGGATCAATTCCATGTACCAATAGATAGTGGTGTGTATTTTCTGAATGGTATTATGAGTTTTTGTCGCTTGTATTTGTGACAAAAGAGCAGTTTAGATCCATAACTTGGTGTATTCTCTACAGCTGTTTGCTTCTCTGTGATTCAGACAGCTATAATCTGCAGAGAGCCCCCGCAGACATGACTCATAAAGGGAGCACTCCGGACACCATAGAAGCTGTCGTGTGCAAGAAGGACGATCTCAAGGATGGAGAGTAAGTCTTTACCATCCATCGAGACTACGTGGAGCAATTTCGAAATTCACTGGAAAGCTTGAAATGTTTAGACGGAGACAATGATAGAGTTAGTCTCAAAATTCATACTCACAGATCTGTATGGTAATAAAACTCACAGAGAACTCTCATGTGCATATCTAACATGCTGTTGGTGTAATGCTGTTTATTAATGTAAATTTGTTGAGCGTATTCTGTTTGTAACATGGCAAATTGCATGAAAAAGCATAGCAAAATGTAGGTGTTGGTAGGCGTACACAAGTTGTTAATTAATTAACTAATTGTGGTTTCATGTGATTTCATGTTTCTATAAACCGTGTTTATGCAGAATGAAACAAGTAGAGGTTGGTGATGGTAAAGTGCTGCTCATTAGAGAGGATGGGGCATTTCATGCCATCGGTTCAAAGTGTTCTCACTATGGGGCGCCACTAGTGAAGGGTGAGTTTTCAGTTTTAATCATGTCTGGACAGAGTGGGTGTTCCAGTCACAACATATGTGCTGTTGATTTATAGGGCCGATTATCCTGTTGTAGGTGTCTCTACATACGTGCAATATTGAATGGCACGGTACCATCTTCATAGTGTGTATAATTATATTGTCTCTCTTTCTATTGGTAGAGTAAGAGTGGTATTTTCACAGGTGCTTTGTGCAATAGTAGAGTGCGTTGTCCATGGCACGGAGCATGCTTCAGTATCAAGACCGGAGACATTGAGGATTTTCCTGGACTAGACAGTGTTCCTATACATGAGGTACGTTAATGTTTAATAGTATTAACTGCATGGTAATGTTAGATCCGTGAATAACGCATAGCACATGTAATTGCATTGTCCTCATATTCGTTTAGGTTTGTGATAAGGTTTCTAATTGTTGGCCATAGGTCTGACATGAGCTTCATTCATCGCGTTTAGTTTCTGATCTACATTCTAGTATAATGACGACATTCATGACTTTAATTTTACATTTTCTGTGAAGATTCGTTTCTGCTAAATCTTTATGATAATTTTCAGACATTACTTTCCATAAATTCCCATTCCATCCAATGTCACTCTTCCGTCATTCAAGGTCATTGTGAGAGGAAACGACGTCGTTGTCAAGGCATCAGTGGATGCTCTGTCTAAGGACAGACGAATGAAAACGATGCACAAGTGTGATTCAAAGGACAATCGAACCTTCCTGATTATCGGGGGAGGTCAGTTTTGAATCTCAGCATGTGTTTATTACTTAACTTATTACTCTACATTTACTTGTGTTATCAGTGTCAGGCCTAGCTACAACAGGCGGGGATAAGGTGATACTGATAGCGTAAGTAGTATGATACGGGCTTGCACTTGTAATTAGAGACAATTCAATTTGTCAGTTTCTGACATTTGTGATCCATCTTCAATTACTACTTACTTGTTGTTTACAACTTGGTAAAGCAGTTGTTTTCTTCTTTTTAGTGTTTTGTAGTAATAGCGGTTTATATAAGTGTTGACAGTATCGTTTGTTGCTGTTGTCCTGTTATTAATGTTTGCTTCAATGTTCAAGCCCTGTATGTGTCTTAGTATGGGATTAGTATGTGGGTTTTAGCAAAGCTTACATATACTGTGTGCTTCATAATTTATAGGCCCATCTTCAGTTACTTGTGCTGAAACCTTAAGGCAACAGGGATTCTGTGGCAAGATTGTCATAGCAACTAGAGAGGCCCATCTGCCATACGACAAGCCAAAACTCAGCAAGGTGATCTAGACCTTACCAGCGTTAGAATTTACACACATTTCGATAGTACTAGAACTTATTCTTAAAGTACAATTAAGTTTTTTTTAACTCATATCTGTTATAGTGTGCTAACAACAGAAAAATATAAAGTTTTAATTTTAATTCAATAATTTAACTTAAGTGTTGATGGATTTGACATTGCAATTGTGCATCTTTTAACACGGTCACCTAATTTCCCATTTGCCCATCATGCGCGTGTTTAGCACGGTGTCACTGTTACCGTTATTTCATCATCCTGTTCTCTCTTCGTACCACGTACAGTTGTAAACAGCTATGGTTTATTCACAGGCTCTGGACTTCGCACCAGCAAAAATTGCTCTGAGGGATGCAGCCTTCTACTCCACATATGACATTCAGCTTCTAAACAATAAGGATGTAAGAGGGTGTCACTGTTTGCATTATCAGTGATAGCAATTATCTATTGAGTCCAACTGAATATTAATTTTTCTACTGATACTAGACTAATAAAACTGGTTACATTGCACACAATTTTGAGTGGTCTTATCAGTAAGATGTCAGTAGGCCAGGTGTACTTTTCTAGTGTGTCTTGAACCTCGAAAAATGCCTTACCTGGAAATATCTATTTGTAGGCAGTGAAACTTAACCTAGCTGGGAAAAATGTTGCATTCAAAGATGGAGATACAATCAGCTATGACAAGCTAATGATAGCCACCGGTGGAACGTAAGTCCCACGTTGGCAAACACTGCAAAATATTGTGTTTGTAACACCAAATGTGAGGGATATATAACATTTAGTCATAGAACACTGATAAATTATATTGTATAGTATTGTATTGCGTTGTTTTATATCATGCTGTATCATGGCATATTGTATAACAGTATTTTCTTTGATTTTTATGTCTGACTCTCATCTTTTATCTTAGACCACGGACATTAGATTGTCCAGGCAGTGACCTTGAGAATATCTTTGTCCTGAGGACTCCAGATGATGGAAACCTAATTGCTGAGCGGGCTAAACAGAAGAAAGTCATCATCATTGGTACATCCTTCATTGGTGAGCTTTCTCAATTGTGTACTAGTGCCACTTTCTTGGATGTTTTTTTTAATTTACTAGTCAAATGCAGTAATTAATTATACTCAAATTTACATATGTGCTCAATCTCAGCCATCAAGTATCAAACAAAATAAAGATTCTAAAGCAGCTTAGGCTGTGTTGTTATATAAAATTGCCAGGTGTATTATAATCTAAGGTTTGTATGTTGTAACTTATAAGTATAGCACATCCTATTTGCCGAGCTAATTTTTGGTATTTTTGGTAGGCATGGAAGTGGCTGCATTTCTAGCAGGCAAGGCTGGCAGCGTTTCTGTGATTGGTCATGGTAATGTACCGTTTGAACGAGTGCTGGGTGCGCAAATAGGAAATGCAATGATGAAGGTATATATGCATCTAATAACAAGTCATCATATCATAATTTCCTTGTGATTTTGTTATGATTGGCACTGACATTGTTAGCTAAAGTATTTGCTGGTGATTAAGGCATACAGAAAGAGTTTATTATAATGCTATTATCTATATGTCTCCTTGTTTCCATTGCAGTTGTTTGTAGCAAAAAAAGTAGAGTTTTACATGGAAAATGGAGTGAAAGAGTTTGTTGGCCATGATGGTAAACTTTCCAAGGTCATCCTGACGAGTGGTGAGAAACTCGACGCTGATGTATGTGTGGTAGGAGCAGGTAAGTTTCTGTGAGCCAGTGAACACCTACTTTGGGTACAATAAACCATCGGCTCTTATATCATCCACCTCATGGAAATTGACCATTTGAGCGAGGTAACCTAGCTTGCCACTCCCCTGGATATTGTTACTAGGTCGGTCAAACTAGTCCATTTTCATGTGTTTTTAGTACTTACTTACTTACTTATCCTCTTGGTCCCCCGATGGGACATAGCCGTAGGCATGTTTTTAGTACTCGCAAGCCAAATTGTCTACTTTGTTGTGTTCCGTTGCCAAACATTGTTTTTTAGAACATTTTATCACAACAAAGCTTGGCTGGAGCTGACTGTTAATCATACCAGCTGGGTAGCTTATGGTATTTTAACCACGGCAATACCAGATATATCTAAGAGGACATCAGTTGTAAATGGATGTTAAGCAGTAAGGTGCAGGATTTACTTGAGGAAATCTGGCATCAGCTGGCTAAAGGCTGATCACCAAGTCAGCTTTTTCTGTATCTGTTTTTGAGAGCAGTATATGCTATTATACATTAATAAACATATAACTTGATTATGTTCTATAGGTGTGACCCCGTGCACAAAGTTACTAAATGATTCTGGCTTAGAAATGACAGATCGTGGCCATGTCGTTGTAGACAAGGTAAGCCCTAACCAGGCTACCCTGTAAAAATCTTGCTAATAAATTGTTATATCACAACCAGCTTGTAAAAAAATCTTGCAACTTATTTGCTTAAATTGCACTACCAGCAGTAAGTTTGGTTGGGAGTGTACCTTTAGCATAGATAAAGATTAGCATGAACTTAGCTTTGGCATGAGATTTCAGAATATCACAATATAGTTTCAGAAAATTGGCTCCACATATGCAGTTACGCCAGTGTGGGCACGTATACATCCAGGCACTGTGGTAATGAATGCTTATCCAATTCTCGTCGGCATTTTGTTACAGAGGATGGGAAGTAGTAATGCCGATGTGTTTGCGTGCGGCGACATCGTTGTCTTCCCACTTTTCCTATGCAATGATAAGAGAGTGAACATACAGCATTGGCAGATGGCAAGCCAGCACGGTGAGTCACACATGTATCACAAGTATCAGTGTAAAGCCTGGGACACACTATGCGAATTTCGCTGTGATCTGATCCGCGGAGAAAATATTCGCACCCGCATGCGATATATTGAGCGGACACACTACACGCGATCTACTGTCGCCACACGGCTCCAACCATGGCTCCAACAGTCATGTGATCTCTGGTGAACGCACCAATCTGTACGCAGCGATAAAAATTTGCAGCAAAAATATCAAACATGTTTGATAGCTGCGAATTTGCGAATTTCAGTGCAGATAAAATTCGCGGCGAAATTTGCCATCGCTTGAGCAAACACACTGCGAATTTCGCGGTGATTTTAACAATCGCCGCGGTCGTGCTAATGAATTTGCATTGTGTGTTCCCCACTTAATGACGTAATTACGAAATAAGACAGGAACTCTGTCTGTGCTGGCACATCATAGGTCAGCGTTCATCGTAGAGTAAAGATATAAGATATAACAGTTTTATTTATTGCTTTCAGTATTGGTAAGTACAAGAATTTTAACAGAGTGGATAATAAACAATACAGTGAAGGGATGACGAAAAGACCATACGGTCATCTAGTCAGTCATCCCCTGGAAAAATGATATAAAGTACTCGGGCAGCTGTCATTGGAGTAGAAATATAACTAGAGCCGCAGAGCGTCTGGGCTCATCTGAGGTCTGTTGCTACGGTTATAAACGTAACATTTAAGTCGTGCGTAGTGACACCTTTGTTAGGCGCAGATATGCAGATACGCAGTTGCGTACACATCATTTCAGCAACCTTCTGCATTCTGCATACCTCCCAAATCCCATTGGTTGATACAAATCGCGTGCCTGAAACTCCTGTTTTATGGTCCATTGTGACCCTAACCCTAACCCTATTAAAAAAAAAGAAGAAATTTAATTGTTGTAAAAATTATTTGTTGTTATGAAATTGTTGTAAGTAAATCATGTAAATATTTTCCTTAATTGGAAAGAAATAGTTAAATGGATAAAGATAGAAAATTACAGAAAACAGGTAAATAATAAAAAATCTGATGGGATTCGATTCAAGGACCTTTGAGCCGTAATCCTGTGCTGTAGCCGTTTCCAGATTATGGATGTGCCATGAATATGAGAACACTGTGACATCATTGAGGCAGTTAAGGAATCCATGTTTAACCCTCCTCTTGAGGGTCAAAAGGTTATAAGACAATTACTCTTCGCACGTCAGTTGAAAGCACATTTCATGGTCCTTTCAATAAAGTGATAAAAATGGTAGGTCAGCACTGAAACAAAAAAGTTCGTGACTGTTCGTTAGCCCATGTCCTCAGAAAATGTCTGATATCTGACCTTTCCCCCACTGCCCTTTGACCTGTGACCTCCAATTTCGGCACAGTGATGGCTTTTCCTACCATGATACTATACACCGACTATCACGAGCCTAGGTCGTGCCGTTTAGATTTGTGCCGCAATTCTGCATTTCCTCCCTATACCTTAAGTTAAGGAGGGAATGTTCCTCCTTCTTTTACACCTCTTAACCTTTGACCTTTGACCCCCAGCTTTGACATCCCTACTCGTTTTCGGATTACCCCCCTACGTCCCGACTTTCGAATCCGTACGTCGAGCCGTTTAGATTTGTGCCCAACTGTTGACGCATGGACGCACTATCATGCAATTCTACAAGCTGCAACTGACTACGTCAGATGAGCTAATAAAATAAAAGTGTTCTAATGGAATATTTGCACGTAACTGTAAACTAAGGACTTAGTCAACATGAAAAGGTTGTTTCCTAAATCTAACCTGGGACTTTTAAATGTAGATCTATGCATAAAATAATGATCTATGAAAATGAGAATAAATTTTTTTTATGTTAGACCATTCATTTTGGTAGAACTAAGAAGCTGAACCCATGCAGCAACCCCTCTTTCGAAACAGCAAGTTGGAAGAACCCGATGAAACTATCACAAGTTAAAACTAGTCATTGCTTGTGCTCCAACACAGTTTATTTGATGCCCACTCCTGCATGTCACTGGGCCCATACACTTTCCCCTAACCCCAATCCTATTACTAAACCCTAACTCCAACCTGACCTCTAATCCTCACCCTAACCTAATCCTAACCATAACTTGCCCCATTAAGTCCCCCAATTTTTGTAACCTGAGAGACATGGACCCTTTGAGCATCACTGATCATGAGTGCATGTGTGGGCATGACGATGTCATTTGTGAGTGCGTGCTGGTGGCAGTGTTCATCGTTTGTTATCTTGTTTTAGGTAAGGTGGCAGCATTCAACATGCTTGGTACTGAGAAGGATATATGCAGCGTTCCATACTTCTGGACAGCTTTCTTTGGCAAGAGCGTGCGCTACACAGGCACGTTAAATATCTATATAACTACAGTGTTTACCATGGATAAAATAATGAATGAAGCAGCAGGGTTGAATAAATGCGTGGCGAGGGCACTACCTCGAACGCTTTTGTATTAATCGTCCCTAGCGAGCACCTGCATGGCGTGTGGCTGGCGCGTAGCGAGGGCAAATTTGCCCGCAGTGTTTGCCTTAATGTTTGGCAGCATTAATCAATGCATGAGGATGTTGAGTAGGGAATGTAGGAGAAGAACCCGGGACTAGGGAGTGACAGGCAGATGACGATTTGGGGAAGGAAGGCCCGAGAATTTGCAGCGCGGCGGTAATTTTGGTAAATATTGAGCAAGGCTGATGCAAAAATCAGCAAGGCAGCCTGCTTCACTCATTATATACCAGGGAAAATACTGTAAATATATAGAGTTAATATAGTTAAATATCTATGCACGTCCATAAAGTTTTGCCAAGTGATACACGCTCCGTGTAGTGGATCCAGCATGAAACGGCAGTCTCCACCAAACTCCACGACAGATGGCGCTCTCGCTCTAGTTCAATTCACCACTGCCACAAGTAGATTTCCGTGAGAATTTCTAACGCTTTTTTACCACAAGTTTTACAGCGGCCAGGTTACTCGTATCCTATGTAGTAAGATTTGTACTAATAAAAGTTGCAAAGATATTAAAAATCCGACCATTATTTCATGAAAGATTTGATGAAATAGTGATAAGAAATAGTGCACAGATTGTGCGCCCGTTTACCTCTTTCAAATCATACGCTGTTTACGAATCGCCATTCGCTGGATTTCCCCGGAGCTCCGCCCACTTTAAAAATAATACTAGCCTTGCAGCAGTGGTATCCTGAGTTGTACGAAGGGGGCACTGCATGCAGTTTGGGTCTCCACATGAAATGAACGTTTTAAAATGTCATTACAACATCCTGCATTGATAGCTTGATTCCACAGAGGTTACCTAATCTGTCGAACTGTCCTATTCATATGAGTGAAAAGACTACGTACACCCAACTCGCATATTGTTGCTAGGCCAGTCAAGCAGAACATGTTTCTTACATGTGCGTGCAAATTTCTCAACTTAGCAGCATTTAGTTTCTAAGTATTGTTATTTAGAATATCTTATAACAACGATGCATCTATCTTGCAGTCTATCACTTATGCCAAGTCGATAAGTCAATTTAACGAATAGTGGACGGGTTAACTCTATTTCGAGTTTGTCAGGGGTAGCTCAACAGTGGAAAACTGATCTACTGCTCGTTTCCATTCTCGTTTCACTTACATCACAGGTTATGCTGAGGGATTTGATGACATAATAGTGTGTGGAAATGTAGAGAACGTGGATGACCTTAAGTTCGTGGCATACTTCACAAAGTAAGTTTATTGTGCTGTGACAGTTTGGACGAGATTGTCCGTGTTTCCATACGTGTTTGTGCTGTGTTAGTAAGTGTACTGTAGTCACGTAAACACCAGACTTTGTAGGCACAAACACGCACGCACGCACACACGCACACATGACTTTGCTGTGTTTGTGTTTGCAAGTGTTATATACAGTTAAACCTCGATTATCCGAATGAGACGGGCGGGGAGTATTTTGTTTGGATAACTGATTGTTCGGATAACTGATCTGATCGTAAATAAAGGAAGCCATACTGAACATAATTACTTTGCGTAAAAAGCATGTTATGTAAAAGAAATTAGCTTGAATTCTTCATAACCTCTGAATAGTGGGTGAGCCAACGGGTCACTGGTGGTCTAGTGGCTTATTAAATACGCAGTGGCTACGCGTCCGGTCATCCATTATAAAGCTCAGCACAGCTTCCCAAATCCACGTCTCGATTAGGTCACGATTTCAAATCGTTGATTTGACTGGATTTACTATTGCTTCAAAAGTTACAAAAACACGTTTTTTGATAAAATACCTAAAGGTAAGTAATATTATGGTAAAAATATAGTTGGGTTCGCATGATAAGAAATATATGACCGGATGCGTAGCCCGGGAGCTGGGCGTCCGGTAACCGCACGCGTAGCCACGGCCTATTAAATATTCACGGAACCTTGAGATCTTGTTCGGGTAACCGAGGTTTGACTGCAGTAAAAATAAAATTTTAGTTCACAATTGACTAGCATGGCATAATATTTATATTGTTATGAAAATATAAATGGTTCACATATACCCAATTTCTCGAATTTTAGCAAATGGGAAATTTCGTGGATATCCTGATGCTCCCCTGGGTAGTCCACTGTTATTTCTGTCATAATATTATTTGATAATAATGTATGTTTCACTGGCATTCCAGAGGCAACAATGTCATTGCGGTGGCCAGCATGAACTGCGATCCCATTGTATCACAGGCTGCGGAGGTCATGGCAAATTGCAAGGTGATCACAAAGGAGGAAATTACATCAGAGCATCACAGCTGCTGGGTTGCTGCTAAACTATAGATCTCCCTTCACATTCCATTTAAAATGTCTATGTTTTGTCATGATGTAATGAGTCATGCACAAAGTTTAACAGAAAAGGTCATAGACTTATAGTTTGTTAAGTTAAATTAGAGTTTGTTTATTATGGTGTTTTGATATTATTAATTTAAGTATATTTTGTATTTTTAGATGCACTTTGAAAATCAATTGTGCAATTCTGATTAAATAACATCGTTATATCATATCATATATTAAATCGTTTCGTATCATATCACAAGTAGAACAGTCATATGTTTAATCAAATGACTTTATGTAGCTGAAACAGCAACAAAAGGTTATATTTGTAAAGGCTCGCGCGATACAGTTATAGTAGTAATATTATAAAATTAGTACTACAGCAATACTTTAAAGTATTACAGTAAAAAATTAGGACATTTAAAAATCATTCAGAAAATTTATTAGCTATTAGTTGGTCGTAACTGCTGTTTAATAATTATGCAAATAGGGCAATTGTACCATGAATAGTTGAATCTGCAGGCGTGCTCAGTTTATTCGTGATTGAGGTGTTATATTATTCTGTTGAGTATACCATGGTTGCTTCTCCCCCTGACACCTGCTATTTTCAAAAGTTGTGAATGTGCTGACCATTTTTGTTACTTTCCAGATTATCAGTTATGATAGGTTGTGATAGCTGCTAGGTGAACCTGAAGCATAATTAGCATACTTGCTTAGTAGTATATAATATATATAAAATATATTTTATAATTTTCGACCACAGTTAATATTTGTTGTGCATATTACTCAAATAACGTTATATATTCACCAAGAACATTTGTCCATATTTGTTGACATGCAAAGTAGAGGCATGTAGTGTATACAACAAAGACTGCTATTTAATCTAGCAATGGTCCCAGATTTTATTTGTAATTTCTACAGTATATCAACAAAAATGACAAATTTAACGGAAATTTAGTTTAACCACACGTACTATTCCAGTAGGCACTGCTGTCGTTCCCTGCTAGATAGTCGGTCACAATCGTTGTAACATTGGCACATAGTAAAACCCTGAACTCGTGATTATCTCACCAATCACTCTACAACTCTAGAAATTGAGCAAACTGCCTGCCGGCTCGGGTCAACGCAGGTTAAAATTTGTGTGCAAACTTCAACTAATTATTACCTAATAAACAATGGGCCATCTTGCATAGCCAATAGTCATTCAAATCTATTTAAACATCCATATAAACCTATTTTCTTGTGTGTTACGAAAACACAATTTCTGTTCTCACAGCTACCTAGTTTCCACTACACCTAATTTAACCATAATGAAATATATTAGTATTATATATGACAGTTATACATTGTCGACATAACTAATGCTAAATAGTGAATTTCAGAGAAAATATATGTATACAAACTAAATATTGCCATTTTTCGTAAAAAAAATTCACGTAAACATTTTTAGTGTTACTTTTTGAACACGTTGATCATGATTTCTAATTAGACTATACACCTAAACCATGATCGATAAATTACAGAGAAACATTTGTTAACATATACCCATTGTAACACCTTTACTTCACGAATACTTTTTGTGGTGGAAAGAACACATTATCCTAAGGGTCGGATACAAGAAGCAAAGGATGAAAGAGAAGAAGGAGAAAGTTGTGATGGGAGAGAGCGAGCTGTCTTGATTTGTAATCCAATTTGCTGCTTTCTATTTATGATACACCCGTTCTGTTGCAAGTGTCTAGAGAAAACAGCTAGAGTAGCTACAGTAACTATACCCAGTTCAAAATCATGTCTAAACCTACAACGTTTCCACACATCCTTCCATCACAGTTAAAACGTCATTTTGATTTTTTCCCATGTAAAAAAATACGACTGAACGTCCGAAATGTTAGTAAGTACATAAAACATGCAAGTACATAGTGGTCATACAAAACTATCACTAGTTAATATACTAAGCAAACGTCTAATGTGGGTAACAAAACCTATATGGATTACTCTGGGTATTTTAATTATGAATATAACATAACAAAGGAAAAGCAAAGGGTGCAATCCTCTGACAAAATACGTTTCAGCAAGTTTATAAACATCATCACTTCTGCAGCATGGTAGTGTTACGCAGCTATCTCCAGTGGCAGCTGCGCTCTGGCTCTGCACCCTGCTCCTGCATCACTTGATGAGTCATGACCAGAGCATCGCCAAGATTGTACGAGAATACGCTCTCTTACGTTGATGAGGCATTCACAGAGGCAATGCTCATGCATGTTCATGCAATTACCAGGACACACGTATGTCACGCTACTGGCTCATCAAGGGCTGGTCGACCAAGAGTATCGAACATACTACAAAATAGCTACCATGGAAAATGTTTTAGTTACCGTGTGCGATGGTTGCCAAGGGAAAATGCTTCAATTTCTCCACATATTCCCTGCAGTGCTAGAAATTAAATATTAGAAGCTGCACGTATATATATATATCTCTATAGTGCTTGCTGCCTACAGGCTAAGTAGGTTTGAACAGGGACTGTTTCTCTTTGAATGCCTTCTTTCTTTCTTTCTTCTCCTCAATCTCCCTCTTCTTCTCTTCCTGCTCTTGCCGGATTTCTTGCTCAAACTTGTTAGTGTTAGATATCTGATTGATCTAAAAAAAAGAAAATATAGTATTAACTAACTAATTCAATTGAAGGAGCTATTAAAATTCAGGCATGAGAACAGGTTGAGATGTTTTTGGAGGAAATACTTCAATTCGTGCCGAAGGCACAATAACAGGGGGCATGGGGGGCCCTGCTAGGGGGGTCCGGGGGCATGCCCCCAAGAAATGTTTAAATTGGAAGTGCAGATAGGTCATTTCCATGCATCCTGGGGGGAAATTGTAAGTCTATTCTGTTCTTAGTAAAAGACCAATTTCATGACTAACAATTCAAAGTCTTGTCATTTTCTATGAACCATTGTCACCTAGTTTCTGTACCCGTGAGAATAGAGTAAAACCCTTTATATTACATAGATCTATACACCGAGATATTTATCTGGAGTTCCGTTACTACTGTGTAAAATTGGACGTATGCCTATACTTTTCCTGACTTTATGAAGTTTAAAATAAAAATGGCGTCCATTTTGACAAGAAAAGTACACCTTCCCCCCTAATTTTTTTATTAGTTTTTTTGCATCGATCTCAAGAATGACCAAAATGAAAACCAAAACCCGGAAATCCGCGAATCCACGGAAAATTCTCATGGCTAAAAATTGTAAACAAGAACATATACAAACAGGAATAAATATAACAATAGTAAATAATAGGAATATACAATAGGTCTATTATCAACTCTGATAGGACGACATTTTATTTAAATGAAAGGAAACCAGCAGAAAACCGGTGTCTGATCGAGATGAGTTGTTTACATAAGCCTCGTCTACATGACGTTTCCCCCGGGTCAAGAACAGTCGCGGGTAAATTAAGCTTAACCCGGGATAAGAAATGCGTAGCGTCTATACATGAGCATTACCCGCTCCACGCTTGAAGCCTGGGACACACCATGCGAATTTATTAGCACGTCCGTGGCGATCATATCCGCAGCGAAAATCGCGGCGAAAATATTCGCACCCGCATGTGATAATTGAGCGGACACACCATGCGAATTTATTCGCACGTCCGCAGCGTACACACTACACGCGATCTACTGGCGCCACACGGCTCCACCATGGCTCCAACAGTCATGTGGTCACATGATTAGCATACTGATTAATGATTCGCTATATTATAACATTCGGCCGCTTAAAGCCTGGGGCACACCATGCGAATTTATTCGCACGTCCGCACGCCCGCAGCGAAAATATCAAACACGTTTGATCGCTGCAAATTTCGGTGCAGATAAAATTCGCAGCGAGATTCACCTGCGCTTGAGCGGACACACCATGCGAATTTCGCTGCGATTTTACAATCGCTGCAGACGTGCGAATAAATTCGCATGGTGTGTTGTACCCCGCTTGAGCGGTTCTGGCAGGCGAGACGTTCCTATTGTTCTATTGTGTATAGTGGACTATTGTTCACTATTGCCGCCTATCGCAGGGTTGAGGAACCATGCGCTATCCCCAGCGTCTACACGAAGCTTAACCCGAAACAGCTTAACCCGGGTTAGTTAACCCTCCTCACATCGCGGGGTTACACTAACCCGGGTCAAGACGTATCCCGGGTTAGTTAACCTGGGTTAAGCCCTCGTGTAGACGCTTAACCCGGGTTAAAAATCCTCGTGTAGACGGAGCTATAATCAAATGACGAAATTCTCTCACAAATGCAACATGCCTACATTAAATCTATCTATCGACCGATCCATCCATCCATGACCCATCCAACCATCCATTCATCCCATCCCATCCCATCCCATCCATCCATGTCTATATAATTAATTATAATAAGCATCTTTAATAATTTGTTATTATTAACTATATTGGGTTTTTAAAATTACCTTACTCTTGGGAATACACACATATTTACATCAGCCATACCTTAGCTTCAAAGAAGTCCTTTGCTCCTCCTACTCCCACCTCATGCACCTCCACCTCCACAAGATTAGCCAGCTGACACAGTCCACTGTCCAGCACCAGCTCACCGTCAGCTGCCTTCCTGAAGATCAGCAGAAACTGCAACGCAACATCACATACACAGCATTAATCACTAATGGCCCAGTCACACATACACGACGCACGGCCAGCGCACTAAAAAATTAGCAATTTTGGCCAGTGAGTTGTCTTTCGCTGGGTGTGCGTCAGCATTCGTTACTCGTTCGTCGAGCGCGTTGGACCAACGCTATGCATTCGTTGTCATTCGCTGTGTGCGTCGGGATTTTTGTGCATGCACAAAAATGTGCACGGAGCTCGACCCATGAATGTACACGCCAGAAGGACGCCAGACACGCGCAGAGCGCGCTGGACCAACGCCAGACACACGCGGAGCACACGCTGGGTATTCGTTGTATGTTCGTCGGCTGAGGTGTAGCGAACACCTAGCGCACACCTAGCGCACACCTAGCGTGCTTCTAACGCATGTCCAGCGAACATGCAGCGAATATGGGCGTGCTGAACGAGTGCTGAACGAGTCTGTAGCGCGCCCAGCATTCTTCTAGCACAGTGGTGGGCAAACTTTTCAAAGCGAGGGCCGCATTAGTGGGCCATGAAAAGTCAAAGGGCCGCACCTTTTAAAATCGGGCGGTGCGCTCTAAGATAATACATGCGTTTCGCCTCAAGGGCGCCATCTCTGGACCATAATTAGCTGAAATGGCGTTGCAGAGCGAACTAGAGACAATAGAACACTAATCTGTATGACACTAAAAAAGTCAGCCTCGGTTCAAGCACAAACATGTTGACTTTCACAAAAATTTATTGATTTAAAAAAAAAAAAAATTTTATTTGCTGCAGGCTTCCGCAGGCCGCACAGAACCCCGTAGAGGGCCGCATGCGGCCCGCGGGCCGCAGTTTGCCCACCCCTGTTCTAGCATGTTCCTAGCGTGTACGCAGCGTGTAGCCATGGGGTATATAAACGGTCCCGCCCCCACCTCCTCATCATCACTTCTCCTCCGACCCTCATGGGTGATGACAGAGGTTCCTGCTGATCGTGTCTAGAAGAACCACCACAGAAGATGGAGGATCCCGACAGGCTGCGACTACAATACGAAATCGCGGTTCTCCAAGATCAGCAGAACCTCATGGAACTGGCACTTCACCAAGTCCATGTCATCAGGAGAATGAGAAAGAGAAGAGGTCAACGGAGGTTCTGGGTCCGACCGTGGATCGGTAGGTGGCGACAGTTTGGCCTGTATGATCAGCTACTTGTTGAACTCCGTAACAAAGACCAGGCAGCCTTCAAGAACTTCATGCGGATGCCCCACGACATGTTTGACGAGCTGCTAACCAGAATGGGTCCGAGGATCACCAAGCAGAATACAACCTACAGAGAAGCCCTCGACCCTGGCCTGAAGCTTGCCCTCACTCTGCGGCATCTTGCCTCTGCATAGACCAAGTATCACTCAATGTTCTATGGGTGGAGGGTGCCTCACAACACCATAACCCTGATCATGACCTAACCGTTCGCTGACTGTGCGTTGAATGTTCTTGTTCTTGTTACTTATTACATCAATTGTATTTTTTGTTCTAGATACTGTTCCATATATGTATGTATATATTTTTTCCCTCTTATTTCCTATATTTAGTTTAATTGTACTTTTCCCTCAGACATTTTATTACCTATGGTAGTGGTCAACTCGAAAGCTTATGGCTACTTTGACCACTACGCACATTCACCTTAAACCTATCGATTCTATAATATTATTTATTTCTCTCCCTTTTTACTTCTATCTGAAATTATCTGTACAAATGAATGAAAAGTGCAAAATAAAATGAATCTGAATCTGAATGCGCGGTGCATGCGCAGACCATTCGTTCCGTGCGCTAGCAACACGCTGTGCATTCGTTGGATTTTTTAACATGTGCGCCATCCATGTATACGCTCTGTATACGCTCTGTATACGCCCTGTATACGCGCAGCGTGCTAGCAACACGCTGTGCATTCGTTGTCAACTCGCTAGCTTCTCCCAATTAAATCCTGACAAAAGTTGGGTGCACAACGACGCACTGATCTTATTTTCAATTTTTTGATTAATTTTCAATGCACGAGCTGTGCGTCGCGTATGTGTGACTGGGCCATAACGCCTAAGAAAAAAATATGTTTGTTTCTGCTAACGAGCTGAAAAAAATTGGACACGGTAACGTAGGCAGGCAACTTTTTTTATTATAAAAATGTCTTTTTTTTGTATTCTAACAATACTTGTTTTATACTTATAACAGCCCATATAATGACTTCAAAGTCAAATCAATGCATTCACCGATCGATATCACGTTGGGATGTTTTTTATCTTGTTAAAAAAATTTTGGGCCGATCACAATAAAATGTTCCCACACGGGGGGGGGGGAGGGGGTTTAAAATGGACTCGGTCGGATTAGCGGAAACAAACGTCTTTTTTTAGGCCTAACCTTTCGGCTCAATGACATTAAATGATAAGAAACGCTCCATGCCTTCGCAGACATATTTCACAAGATCACACTCAATTCAAATTCGTAGCTACGTAGCAGAATGTTCAGGTATGTGCATGAACTACATTGCTTATGTTGGCTGCTTACCATCAAGATGCATACTGAGAAAATTGAATTACGGAAGAGAATCAAATACCACACATGTATCAATGATCACAGAACGTCGAGATTTTGCAATGATTTATATCCAGGCCACTAAGAACCTTATCATGCCCAATTTTGTAAAATCAATCCACACAAACACATGAAAACGAACAACATGCATTAATTTTTGGTCCTATTAAATAAAATTTTATACGACCCCTTTGGCTGCAGATATTTACTTTGGACTAGAAATATCTTCTTTAGTGCTAAAAAAGTATACCCATGCATAATAAAAACACTTAAAATTTACCCTTCCTATGTTGAGCAAACCACCAACCCATGAACACATATATGCTTCACCCTCTCCAATAAATATTTAGTAGCGAGAGCAGTTATGTCACCTCTCGAAAGTTGATCTTGTTATCTTCGTCCTCGTCAACCTCTTTGATCATATCTTTGAGTGCCAGGTGGGTCTGTGGCGCCCCCAGTTTCTCCATCATGTGCTTCAGTTCCTCAAAGCATATGAACTTGTCTCGATTAACGTCAAACCTGAAGATAGATCGACATGCCGGTACTAAACAACTGTTTCAGATGGTGACATAAGAAGACAATGCCATGACACATTCAGGTGGTATTATTTGTATATAATTAGGATAAATAATAACAAATATATTTTACTATTACTATACTCCTGATATCCTGAATGCAAGGTACGATGTTATTAAAATTAGAAGACTATACGAGGGTGTAAGAAGGATATCTTAAAATTATACAGAACTGTTCTGGGGTTTTTAAGGCAGTCCAGTATTCCATTTTGTCTAATAAAAAATATATTATAAAAATTCTCCAATATTAATTCTTATATAATTTTACATTAATGTAATAAACGTTTATTATTATATAAACCAATGCATATATATATACCAATATATAATAAAATTTTTAGTTCTCAAATAATCAAGGGTGATGTTTCATCGAGAAACTCAATTCCGTTGTGAAGGATTTTTCAGTGAACATCGATCGAGTTCCTCGCAATTTCTTGGATACCATGATTAAATATTTTGATAACCAATCTCATGCACCAATAAAAGAGTAAAGTGGATTTTTTTTCATCGCATACTAGCTGGATTAGGTTCTAGGAAAATAATAAAATAGGCATAGAATTACAAGCTATAAAGTCAGATATACTACAAGTACAATTAATATTATTACATTATCTACAAGAGTGGTACCCGATATGATATTTACTTATGACAAAACAAGATTAAATTCTTATATAAATATTGATCGGAAGATGGAAGGACATTCATGGGGGAGGGGGGGCGTTAATCAACGAGGCTACAGGAATACTTTTATAAAGCCAAGCCAGCATAGTCTGTGTGTGGGTGCGTGTGTGCATGCGTGTGGGTGTGCATGTGTCTGTCGGTACATGTATGAAATCATTATATAATAGGCTGACATGGGGTCAGACAGACTTCCTTTAAACTAGCTGCCATACAAAAAGAACAGCCAACGAAACAAGTTTAGTTTTACTGCGCACGAAAACGAACAAGGACCGAGTAGTATTAGCCTACTCTTCTCACGACAAACTAGAACGCTCGTAGCCTCGTACATTCCATATCAATAGCCGCGATTCTACTTCCACAATGCTTGGCATATTTCTCCCCCAGGCTATATTGGCGAGGATGGTGTCCCCTAAGTAACCAGGGTAATCCTTTGCAAAATGTTATACGTTCCATTTTCTCTCTCAAAGACTACTATTAACACCTGAATAATTATTATATTTAGACGTGCCGGCCATATATGTCAAAAATAGCACCTGCGATTATATACTTCATGAATTCGACTCATATAATAAAATCAGTGTTACACTTCCTTTTCGAGATTTAAACCAAAATTGTTTTCCCAGATGAATAGGTTTATGTTGTGGTAATATTATAAATATCTTATTATATATATTTATTAGCTCTTGATGCCATGTACACCGCCCACATGCCTACGAACACGAACGCCTTTAAACCTACACGCGCGCGCACACACGCATGCACGCACACACGCAAGCACGCACACACGCAAGCAGGGAACCTATGTACAGTAGTTCGTAGCAAAGAGCGATGGCTAAATATGAACGTTTGCTACCTAGAACAATAATGTGTTCTACGAGAACGCAACCATATGTGCTTATTATTTTCAGTAGTACTACTTCATTGCATTCCCATGAAAGGTGCAATCAGTATGCATAATGATATCGGCTATACACTGTCAGACTTAACTATAAACTGTTCTCCAGTGCTCTCTCAAGACATCTAGCAGCTGTTAACAGCTTATGCACATTTTACAGCTGTCCTGAAGGAAAGAACAACATTTATCCAGATGCAAATACAACTAATACTTTGACCCCACAGCGCCAGGACACCCCTTGCTGCCACACAGCAAGCATGAGCTACGAACAAGTTGACAGTATGTTTATGTTTGGCTGGGAGTAGTTCCAACATACACAGCTGTATGCATGCTAGTATGAACCACTTAAATTAACCTTATATACTACACATTTATGCACGCACGCACGCACGCACGCACGCACATCCATGGCACGTGGCTCACTACCTCCAAGAAACAGTCATATATGCTGAAAGACGTATTGACATTAGTTTCGCAGCCTGGGCGGACTAGTTGCTCACGAGTCACATCTGTACATCCTTTCTGCCACACCACATCCTCTACACGCATACAGAGAACGTGGTGACATATGACTCCGCTCTGCATGCGGTAGCACTGTTATACTCATACTGTCAGCTCTTCACAGAGTCGTCCTCAGTTACCCAACACAACACATGCTGCGACATACGCGTACAACGCGTAGAACGTTTCACACACTCTCAGACTACAAACCGACAGAATGTACAGCATCAGTTCGGAAAGTGTATGACCTCATACGGCATCTGCTAGTGAAAGTTACACACTAGCTCGTTCCAGCCATGTACCGAATGAAGTTTACATGAGGTTACAAAAAATGAAGATATAGAGGTTTCCGCAATGCATACAAACCTGAACATATTTATACTGTACAGTATAAATATATGTTCATGACACAATCAAAACATATGACTATATAACAACATAGAAGGAGTCATGCACTTTTGATAGCATTCCAATTTTTTTTAAATAATTGTTAAATCTAAAATGACAAGCAGCTCCTACTCATCATAAGGCAGGGTGCTAAAAGAATATTCGAATGGGAATGGAACATCAGAGCTTCACAATACCGACCTAACGTACAGAACAGACACATATGTGACCGGTGATAGCGAAATGAGTCACTTGGGGCAATTTTGACATTTTAGGTTGAATACATATTCAGATACCTGAGATTCATAGCTTTCTATTGTTATATATAGATATTGAAAATTGGTTGAAAAATGAATATTTTATGACCATTATAAATCGAGATATCATGCGATTAAAATTTCCTGAGAATTGTCTAAAATAAGGGCTGAAAACTAATAGCATTCACTGATATTATTAGCCAACACTTCTTATAAATTATTCAATTTAAGCAGTTTTTAATTTAATTAAGACATTTTTGCTTTTTTTTTTTAGATCGATTGTACAGTAGAATGCTACTGTGCGACTTCCGACTCATTTGGCTATCACGGGTCACATATATGCTTAGCTGTTCCAATTCTACCAAAATCTGGTGCATTCGAATTAGCCACACCCCTTCTTTATAGCTTTACCGGAGTAGCCCCGTTGCTCCAGCTACATGGGAGGGAGGCTGCTTGGGTTGATCTAACCTCTCCCCGGTTTACCCAGTGCATAACATTATTATAATATCATCAATGTTTTTCATATGCAGCAGGGGCGGATCCAGAGGGGGGGTCGAGGGGGGTCTGGACCCCCCTTTTTACCACAAAGAAAAGGAAAAAAAGAATACACACGCACGCACGCACGCACGCGCGCGCACACACACACACACACACTTCTCTTATATTGTATCCATAAAAAAATCTTGTTTAGCGCTAGTTTTTCTGATAAAGATTTACTTATATATATGTAAATTCGTTATAAAAACCTAGAAATAGGCAAAAAGGGGTCCGCAGGTGTCCGGGGGACCGGATCTGATAAATTTTTGCATTCTAGACATCAAAATTACTGCTCAGATGCTCTCAGAATGCACCAATTTAAAAAAAAAATCTTGGGGGAGGTCCCCCAAACCCCCCCTAAGTGGCCTTCGGCAGCTTTTTAAAACACCAGAAAAAGTAAGCAGGAAAAAGTGCCCTTTATTTTTTCCTGGACACCTCCTTTTAAAAAATCCTGGATCCGCCCCTGAATGCATCATATTAACAAACCATGTAAAGTCACTGAATGTTTAATGTTTATGCAGTCATGGATGGCCGAGCATTCTTTGGGACTTATTTTTTAAAACGTGATATGTCTTTTGAGTTTTGACATGTCCTGTTCTACTGTAACATCTGTTTTACATCTGTGTAACATCTGTAATCTACTCTAAATTATTACATACAAACTACGTCCCTACACTACCAGCATTATAGAATGAGCTGTCATGCAGTAAAAGAACGAATATATAATCAACAATTATTCACTATTCAATTGCAAACATATATATGATACAGTGAAAAATATCTTTATATAATGTTGTCTAATATAGTTCTACTCATAAAGGCCGCCGCACACCAGCCGATTTTACAAACGATGAAGCGATGAAGCGATGAAGCGATGAAGCGATGTAGGTGTGCGGCGGCCTTAAAATCGGCTCATCGGTTCAAAATCAAACATGTTTGATTTGGAACGATCACCCGATAAAAATAAAATCGTCTACAAATGAACGCGCACACCTACATCGCTTCATCGCTTTGACATCGCTTCATCGTTTGTAAAAATCGGCTGGTGTGCGGCGGCCTTAAACTGTTCAAACGTGGACTCATTGAAGTTGAACAATATACGCATTCCAGAATAAACATTGACAATGATATTGACTTAGTATACGTCTCAGCACTTTTTCTCTGATATAATGAGAAAAATTGCCTGCGACTGACAAACAGTGACTATGTGCAGTATATGACTATGACTATGAGTGAATGGAGCCACATTAGGCTTATGGTTGTGAGTGTAACTTGTGACACAAGTTGTGTAACACAGACATACCACCATACCACGTTACAAGACGTTTACACGTTTAACGTTTACTTTATATTTACGCTACGCGTTTGTTGTCATTGCAATCAAGTGGCGTCTAAATTCAATGTATTGTATTTGGTTTGCGGCATTTGCCAAGAAGTCACGCGCAGTGCCAGTGGCAGTGGAGCCGTGGTTATGGGCTTCACCAGACACTACAACTACCAGTACCAGTACTCAGTAGGCAGTACCATAACGCGTTAGAATAAGGGATTTCGTACTTTCTATCTAATGTTACTATGCAGTTGCTGCACAGCCACAGGTTTAGTGGCGTAAATATTACTGAGGTCAACGCACCCACCTTTTAAACATGACTTCATACTCTTTAATCTGTTTCCGCGAGAACTCTTTGAACTCCGTGTAAACGTTGGTGAAGACCGTAGTTGGAGACGATTCTTCGGCACCTTCGTTGATATTTTGTCGTCGGTTCAATTTGGACGCTAATTCAGAGTCGGCCATCGCCACGGTGTCCTTCTCTTCGTCATTGTTATTCGTTTGCAGAGGGTTGTCGCCTTCTGGGGTTTCCTCTATCAAACATTGACGACGCTGAAGTTTACCCGAGAGTTCGTCGTCAGCCATGGTTCTCTGATCAACTGATTTACGCCGCGACTAGCGATATCTGCGAGCGCCTTAGCTGGAGCGGCAACCAAAACATTCTCACCTGCAGAGTGGCGCCACTGCAGACGCACTTGCATTTTGTCCCTGTGGGCCACCGTATAGTGCAGATGTAGATTTTATTTTTGCCGTATATATACTTCTCTGATAACGTGTGCATATTCTTTTATTAATTTACTATTGTCTGTCAATCAGGCGATGTACAACAACGAACCAATTAGGTATACTGAATACAGTTAGTATTATTATCAAGTTTAATGATAAATATCATCAAGGTATTAATATGGTTTATACACCATATAACAGGTGGCGCGCGCGTGGCATTTATAAACAAATTTCATCAGTAGTAATCAAAGTAATCAATCGTTCATCTAGTGTCCGTCAGTTCGTCATCAGTTATTCCGTGTAAGTTATCAGTCACCTGTGATGCATATTGACATCCAAAATGTTTGAAAAGCATTAATTAGTAATTGTATTTTGTAGTAGTGGCATTTAAACTCACATATGGCGTGAACGTTTGCTGAGAGAGAGTAAAGTGCTGTAGTGTAGGGCCTACTCTACTTGTTTTCATTCAGTCAGTGAGTCAGTGTTGTTGCGGTATCTACTTTCCCTGTGAGTGTGACTGTGTAGCCACAAGCACTTGGAACGTTTCAATAATACTAATAGAATGATGGGGTAAATAAACACGAAATGTATTTACTACCAATTAATGTTGTTCTACTCTCTTTCGCCTATTATAATTATTAGTATTACTGATAATTTTCTGTAAATGCTGTTCAAATGCGCCCCTGCAACGCACAACTACAAGTACACAGCACGGAGGTTGCTGTGCACAATCAACACGAATATAAAGCACTGAGCAGGTGGGAAACCGTGACCAAAAAATACACACGACACTTTGTTTCACACAATCACGGCACAAATGCATAACCATGCAACTGCCTTCATTTTGGTATCTATGCGGAGCTAAGTTCACGTTTGAATTTTAATTTTGCCAACTAGTACTGCACACTTTACCCAGAGATATCTAGTGAATTCCTGCGGAAAATTCCAACTTTGCCAAAATGTGAATTGGAGCAATTACATGAGTAATGGTGCCGTATTTTATTCTGGGTTCAAGCATCCCTGCTTCTGAGCTCCATTTCGAGGCCTGCCGAGCCAAACTAGCATAATGCGAGCAGGACTGATGTCACACACATTACTACAGTCATTGGCCAAAACAATCCGAATAGCGTGGGCGATCGGGCCGGCACGGTGGATAGGGAGTTTCGGCTGATAAACGGGCACTTGCTCCCATTTACATTTTGGCAGAGGTGGAGTTTTCCGCAGGAATTCACCAGATATATCTGTGTGCAGTACCAGTTGGCAAAATTATAATTCAAACAAGTGAACAGTTTGCTCTGCATAGATACCAAAATGGAGGTGGTTGGTTGTGAATTTCTGCCGTGATTGTGTGAAACAAAGCGAGCGTCGCATGAATTTTGCGGTCACGCTTTCCCACCTGCTCTATATTTTTGTAGTTTGTGCACAGCGGCATGTGAGCGGTGAGACTGTGTTGCAGTGGAGAAATTGAACGGCATTTACGTGGAATTGCTCGCTATAAACCCAAAGTCTGTTGGGCTGTAAATACATTTCATATTTATTTACCATCGTTTTTAGCTCATCTGACATAGTCAGATGCAGCTTGTAGAATCGCATGATCGTCCATCCGTGCGTCCGTCCGTCCGTCCGTCCGTCCGTCCGTCCGTCAACAGTTGGGCACAAAACTTAACCGCTCGACGTACGGTCACGATATTCGGGACGTGGGGGGGTTATCCGAAAACGAGTTGGGATGTCGAAGCTGGGGGTCAAAGGTCAAAGGTCAAGAG